ATTGAAATAGTCGCCAAAACCCTTGTTTTGCACGACAAACACACAAGTAGTAGCCAAAAACTGTGAAATTAGCGACCAAAATCATATTTAGTCGCCCAAAATGTCACGTTTTAACGACTAACAAATTATTAGTCGCCAAAAGACACTCAATTCCGACAACACATGTTTTTAGTAGCAAAATAGTAGACTTTTACCGACCAAAAAGATTTAGTAGCTAATGCATGTCCCTTCGGCGGCCAAATATTATTTGATAGCTAATGTCTCTACTATTGGCGACAAACAAATTTTTAGTAGCTAATTGATATACCTTTGGCGACTAAATTTAGTTTAGTCGGCAAAAGTAGTCACCGAGGCTGTCCTTTCTTGTAGTGAGGTGGTGTTGGGGTGGCGGTGGGGCTAATGTGATGGGATGGTTAAGGTGATGGTAGAAATGATAGTGCAGTAGTATTAATAAGTTTTTTATTTTGTATATTTTAAAAATAAAAATAAATTTATTTTATCTTTGGTTGCAAAAAAGGTGTTCCACGTGGGGCTGAGAAACAGCCGACAACTCAACTATAACAACGGTCACAACTCGCAAGTGGCAATAACAAGATGATTTTTGGTAGCAATAATAGAGAATTTTTGTTGGTATACCGCCGGGTAGCTCACCGTTATTTGCTCGCAGGTGATCGGATATCGACGGAACTCGGAAGAAAGGAATACGGGCACGCCGGAATATTTGCTCCCTGTACAGTCGCCAAAACCCTTGTTTTGCACAACTAACACACAAGTAGTAGCCAAAAACTGTGAAATTAGCGACCAAAATCATATTTAGTCGCCCAAAATGTCACGTTTTAACGACTAACAAATTATTAGTCGCCAAAAGACACTCAATTCCGACAACACATGTTTTTAGTAGCAAAATAGTAGACTTTTACCGACCAAAAAGGTTTAGTAGCTAATGCATGTCCCTTCGGCGACCAAATATTATTTGGTAGCTAATGTTCGTACTATTGGCGACAAACAAATTTTTAGTAGCTAATTGGTATACCTTTGACGACTAAATTTAGTTTAGTCAGCAAAAGTAGTCGCCGAAGCTGTTCTTTCTTGTAGTGAGGTGGTGTTGGGGTGGCGGTGGAGCTAATGTGATGGGATGGTTAGGGTGATGGTAGAAATGATAATGTAGTAGTATTGATAAGTTTTTTATTTTATATATTTTAAAAATAAAAATAAATTTATTTTATCTTTGTTGCAAAAAAGGTATTCCACGTGGGGCTGAGAAACACCCGACAACTCAACTATAACAACGGTCACAACTCGCAAGTGGCAACAACAAGATGATTTTTGGTAGCAATAATAGAGAATTTTTGTTGGTATATGCAATTCAATGTATTCAAATATTTTACTTTAGTTAGCAAATGAGATAAGTACATAAAATGGGCGTCGGATAACGCTACGCGTGTGAACTGAAATCATTGCTTACGTGGGCTTTTTGAAAAGTTGATAAGAAGTCAAATTTTAATTTTTTATTTATTTTAAATCATATCATTTTTCACATAATTTACTCACAAAAAAATAAAATAAATTAAAAAAATCAAAAAAATTAATTTTTTATTAACTTCTCAAAACATTCCACAGTCATATTTTTGTGAGTGTTATAGTACTAATAAGCAATAACAACACATTTGTCTTTCTTAAAATTCGTTACTTAAAATATAAATTATTTTTTATAATTTAAAAAATTATAAATATTACTTTTTTAATTTTTTATTTAATAGAAGTAACTGAAAAAATAAAATTTTTAAATGCATAAAATAATAAAATTACTTAAATTATTAATTGAAATAAATTTTTGATATCATTAAAAAGTGTTAATTAACTTAATGATTTATTAATGAAAATGATCAATTGTTGTCAAGGGATGAGATATAATTTTCAGAATTATATAGAATAATTCGTATTTTAAACAAATTTTAAGAAGTATATTTATAATTTATCTTTTTTTAAGTCAAAGAAGAAAAGTAACCCCTTATCCAAAAGGGTTAGCGAATTAGGAAACTCACAAGCGCATAGTACTATTGGTCCAATCCATCATGGAAGAAATTAGGGAATCCACAAGCGCTAGTAATACCGGCCTAATCCATCAAGAGATAAACTTCAGAATTCACAAACGCCATCTCATCAAGACCTAACATATATTATTTGAAACTTATACTTACTTAAAAGGTTAAGCCTATAAGTAGAGAGCCTATCTAATATATATTAAGACTCATTTCTTTTACTCTTTATTCGATGTGAAGCTCTACTTTTCCACATATTCCAACAAAAACATCACCCCACTCCTTTCAATTTTACTGGTAAAATGAAAAACATACGACTCAATAACTTTTAAATTATGTTTTAGAAAATTAAGATTTTTATTTTTATTCTTTTATATAAAACTCTGTAGTACTAAAATTTTAATATTTAAAATTAAATTGTAACTATCACCACTTCAAAATAAAATTAAATATCACAATGAGTTGTAATTAATTTTGATTCAATAATACATTGATCTCACCACCACAATAACTTGTAACCAACCATTACAATAAGAAAAATGCTAAGGACCCCAAACAAATTGGTAAAATGAAAAACATACGACTCAATAACTTTTAAATTATGTTTTATAAAATTAAGATTTTTATTTTTATTCTTTTATATAAAACTCTGTAGTACTAAAATTTTAATATTTAAAATTAAATTGTAACTATTACCACTTCAAAATATAATTAAATATCACAATGAGTCATAATTGATTTTGATTCAATAATACATTGATCTCACCACCACAATAACTCGTAACCAACCATTACAATAATCCATACCCAACATCATTCTTGACCAGAACCAACATATGATATACATTATGTATAAAAAATATTTAAAAGAAAAAAAAAACCAAAGTAAAAAGAAATGTGTATTATAGATTACGTGTGGAATGAAGAGACGGGAGCTAGTGAGTAGAGGGACATCCTCATACTAGCAACCTCGTGTTAGGTAGTGGTTTTATGGGTTGGCCCAAGGCTGAGAAATTTTGAGAGTAGCCAGCCGCCATGTAGTAGTATTAATTATATTTAATATTTATGTATTTTTATTAAAATTTTGTTTTAATCCCTCTATTTTTATAGCTATATTAAAATATCACTTAAGATTAAACCTCATTATAATTTGACTAGGTAAAAAGTTAAGAAATAAAATGAGATTAGTATAAAATACAAAGTGAAATTTGTCTTCTTTTATTATGTTGACACCTCACCGAGCATGTCATCTACCGCGCTCTCAAATAGAGACACGTTATAACAAGGTGGCATTCATATCATTTCTACTGGGATATAATGGTAAGGCTGTAGCATTCTTCTTTGCCTAAGGGGTGTACTTTATAGAATTTTTTATTTTTTATTTTTTTTCAATCTGTAGAATTTTTTATAAATATTAAGAGAATTAAATTTAATTTGAATAATCAAACATGTTAAAAAAATTCAACAATGCATTCTACCTGCAAGTCCAATATTAACAACCACAATGACCTTGTTTGGTAAGACTTATTTTCAGCTTATTTCAGCTTTTAGTTTAATTTAAGCTATTTTGATGTGTTTGGTTCAGCTTAACAATACAACTTATAGCTTTTTATAAGTCAAAAATCAACTTATTCTTTGAGTGGTTTTTTTTCAATCTGTAGAATTTTTTATAAATATTAAGAGAATTAAATTTAATTTGAATAATCAAACATGTTAAAAAAATTCAACAATGCATTCTACCTGCAAGTCCAATATTAACAACCACAATATAATATAAGAAAAAGTGTCGCAATAAAAATGAAATAAACAACTTCAAAAAGAAGTTTGTAATTGAGAAAAATAAAAAGAAAAATAATATATAAGTTCACTTTTTAAATCTAGAAAAAATATGAGAGAGAGTGTTACTTTTAATATCCTAATTGATTGTCACATTATTAGACTTGAAAATTGAATTTAATTTTTTTTATTTTAAATAGCAATGCTCACTTACTATCTAAAAATTGATTCGTAATTTTTCAATTGAGAGTGTAAAAAGCAATCAACAATACTATAATTTATGAAAAGATTTTACTGATGAATAATACTTTTTTGAGTCTATCATCTATGTACCAAACCTCATCCACAGATGCCAAAAGGAATAAATCTTGTAATTTTATTCTAGTGGGCTAGCCATAGAAATTGATAAAGAAAAATAATTGTAGAATTTTTTTAAAAAAAAATCCAAAAAAAAAAGAGAGTAGAAAACCCGAATTTGATTGGACATTATCCAATCACTTAAATCTGACTTTTAACTCAAATTGGTAGGAAGACAAAAGTGGAGATGCCCAGTTGGTCAGTAATGATGTTTGCTCAATTTGTAGAAGTTGATGGCCCAATATTCGGACCAATGGATCACAAGAACACCCATTTTCATACATTGGATCAAGCCACAAACTTAAGAACATTTTAAAATCAAGATATTTTATTATTTCAAAATAAAAAATCCAACATTAATAGTTATGACCCATAATAAGACAAAAAATTTGCAAATTTTGTTATTACTTATTTATTTATATACAATTTTTTTCATAAGTTTTTTTTTGTTGTTAAAGTTAGTCAATAAAATTTATAGTAATTGATTGATAAACCATTAGAATTTTGTCACTTGCATTTACATCTCCAATGTCTAAAGATAAAATATTATTCTTCACATCAGAGGTGAAGTCAATACCACTCATCATTCGGGTACGGTGAAACCTATCGGATTTGATTCCGGTAGCCATCTCACAGAGACCAAACTACCCCTATATACATCTCAAACGCCGGTCTTAGGTCATTTTCCTCCAAATATTTTCTCCAAAAAGCCAAGCCATGAACACACTATCGAGCACCATCGCTCCCCAAATTCCCAAGGCCAATATCGGCAGAAAAAAATATCAAAAATATTTAACCAGTGGTAATTCGGTCACATTACTAAAAATGCCAAACTCATCATCGTATTTTTCTTCTTCTTCCAAACTCGTTCGAGCCTCGACAGGAAAAGCAGACTCGTCCCACGACAACAACCACACTCACATTCCACCACCGCCACACAGAGATCTGCAAGACAAAGTGATCTCAGCCATGGCGGCTTCCGATTCAGATTCCAGAGACGATCGCATCGCCAGAATCGCATCTGCGATCCGCGTCATTCCCGACTGCCCCAAACCCGGGATTATGTTTCAGGATATAACGACGTTGCTGCTGGATCCGAAGGCGTTCAAGGACACTATTGATTGATTTGTTGAGAGGTACAAAGGGAAAGATATCTCTGTCGTTGCAGGTATTGAAGCAAGAGGTTTTATATTTGGGCCTCCCATTGCACTGGCTATTGGAGCAAAATTTGTTCCTATGAGAAAACCCAAGAAATGGCCTGGGGAGGTTATCTCGGAAGAGTATTCTTTGGAGTATGGAACAGACAAGATGGAGATGCATGTTGGGGCTGTGCAAGCAGGAGAACGTGGAGTTGGGCCAGATTTTTTTTTTTTTTTTTTTTTTTTTTTTTTTTATAATTTTTATTTTTTATGTTGATGAATTGATAAGTCCTGATGCCTAAAAAGTGTTAAAAAGTGCCTAAAATTGTTTGTTCTTAAAAATGAAATTGATATGGTTATGTGATTTTGCCATCAGCAGATGAAGCTAACCTAACTCTGGAACTAGTAAGTGCTTTGCAGCTATTCTATATTGTAATGTGTTACCTGAAGGGCTGCAACCAAATTTTAGTAATTTATGGGGGTCTTCTGCACTAGGTGAACAACAAATTTGGAAATCAAATGGAGATTTTGGTAAATGGGACAAGTATTGTGCACTGATGAATGATTCATTGTTTTCCAAGTTCAACTTCCATTTATTTAACCCCTCTATTTGGATATGCATTCTCTTGAGCACAACTGTTTGGGGTTTTACTGGGTCGTTTGTTAATGCTTCAGTTTTTTTTTTTGGAAACTAAAACGAACACTTGTTTGGTACATTATTTTTTTTGTTTTAAAAAAATGGAATTGATTCCAAAATATCAGAATTTTTCGAAACTAAAAGAAAAAATGTGCTTTCACATGTTTTCAAAACAAGTTTCGCTTTCTCTTCTCTCACACACCACCTCCGGCCACTACACACTACCACCACCGCCATTGGCTGGTTGCTAGGGAGCTCCGACCATAGTTATCATAAGAAAAAGTGTCGCAATAAAAATGAAATAAACAACTTCAAAAAGAAGTTTGTAATTGAGAAAAATAAAAAGAAAAATAATATATAAGTTCACTTTTTAAATCTAGAAAAAATATGAGAGAACATGTTACTTTTAATATCCTAATTGATTGTCACATTATTAGACTTGAAAATTGAATTTAATTTTTTTTATTTTAAATAGCAATGCTCACTTACTATCTAAAATTGATTCATAATTTTTCAATTGAGAGTGTAAAAAGCAATCAACAATACTATAATTTATGAAAAGATTTTACTGATGAATAATACTTTTTTGAGTCTATCATCTATGTACCAAACCTCATCCACAGATGCCAAAAGGAATAAATCTTGTAATTTTATTCTAGTGGGCTAGCCATAGAAATTGATAAAGAAAAATAATTGTAGAATTTTTTTAAAAAAAAATCCAAAAAAAAAAGAGAGTAGAAAACCCGAATTTGATTGGACATTATCCAATCACTTAAATCTGACTTTTAACTCAAATTGGTAGGAAGACAAAAGTGGAGATGCCCAGTTGGTCAGTAATGATGTTTTTTCAATTTGTAGAAGTTGATGGCCCAATATTCGGACCATTTTCATACATTGGATCAAGCCACAAACTTAAGAACATTTTAAAATCAAGATACTTTATTATTTCAAAATAAAAAATCCAACATTAATAGTTATGACCCATAATAAGACAAAAAATTTGCAAATTTTGTTATTACTTATTTATTTATATACAATTTTTTTCATAAATTTTTTTTTTTTGTTGTTAAAGTTAGTCAATAAAATTTATAGTAATTGGTTGACAAACTACTAGAATTTTGTCACTTGCATTTACATCCCCAATATCTAAAGATAAAATATTATTCTTCACATCAGGTGAAGTCAATACCACTCATCATTCGGGTACGGTGAAACCTATCGGATTTGATTCCGGTAGCCATCTCACAGAGACCAAACTACCCCTATATACATCTCAAACGCCGGTCTTAGGTCATTTTCCTCCAAATATTTTCTCCAAAAAACCAAGCCATGAACACACTATCAAGCACCATCGCTCCACAAATTCCCAAGGCCAATATCGGCAGAAAAAAATATCAAAAATATTTAACCAGTGGTAATTCGGTCACATTACTAAAAATGCCAAACTCATCATCGTATTTTTCTTCTTCTTCCAAACTCGTTCGAGCCTCGACAGGAAAAGCAGACTCGTCCCACGACAACAACCACACTCACATTCCACCACCGCCACACAGAGATCTGCAAGACAAAGTGATCTCAGCCATGGCGGCTTCCGATTCAGATTCCAGAGACGATCGCATCGCCAGAATCGCATCTGCGATCCGCGTCATTCCCGACTTCCCCAAACCCGGTACACTTTAGCTTTATATAGATATAGATATAGATATACTTGTGTGTGTAGGTATGTGTGTATATGTAGAGGAGCTTGTTGTTTGATTTGGGACAAATTTTGGTAGGGATTATGTTTCAGGATATAACGACGCTGCTGCTCGATCCGAAGGCTTTCAAGGACACTATTGATTTATTTGTTGAGAGGTACAAAGGGAAAGATATCTCTGTCGTTGCAGGTGCACTCTCTTATGCTTCTACTCTCTTCTTCTTTCTTTCTTTCTTTCTTTTTTTTTTTTTTTATAATTTTTATTTTTTATGGTGATGAATTGATAAGTCCTGATGCCTAAAAAGTGTTAAAAAGTGCCTAAAATTGTTTGTTCTTAAAAATGAAATTGATATGGTTATGTGATTTTGCCATCAGCAGATGAAGCTAACCTAACTCTGGAACTAGTAAGTGCTTTGCAGCTATTCTATATTGTAATGTGTTACCTGAAGGGCTGCAACCAAATTTTAGTAATTTATGGGGGTCTTCTGCACTAGGTGAACAACAAATTTGGAAATCAAATGGAGATTTTGGTAAATGGGACAAGTATTGTGCACTGATGAATGATTCATTGTTTTTCAAGTTCAACTTCCATTTATTTAACCCCTCTATTTGGATATGCATTCTCTTGAGCACAACTGTTTGGGGTTTTACTGGGTCGTTTGTTAATGTTTTTTTTTTTTTTTTTGGAAACTAAAACGAACACTTGTTTAGTACATTATTTTTTTTGTTTTAAAAAAAATGGAATTGATTCCAAAATATCAGAATTTTTCGAAACTAAAAGAAAAAAGGTTTCACATGTTTTCAAAACAAGTTTTGTTTTCTCTTCTCTCACACACCACCTCCGGCCACTACACACCACCACCACCGCCATTGGCTGGTTGCCAGGGAGCTCCGACCATGGTTATCAAAATCTCAATCCGGATCAAAAGATCTTACGATTCTACGACCCCAGTTGGGTCAAACAAACCGAATTGCACTAGGATCTTAAAATGACTACAATCTTAGTCATAAAATCATGTACAATCGCTCTACGATGCCGATTCTATTACGATCTCGATCCTACTAATTTTTTTCTTCTTCTAATTAGTTAGTTCTTATATATATATGTGTATATATCTATATACAAAATTTGACTATAAACTCTTTCTCCAAACATTTCCTCTAAATTATTTAGTTCTTGCTCTCCTTTGGAAAATAAAAATATAGGTGTTACCATATTTATTGCCAGAACTTAGGTTGCTATTTGATAAATTGAAGAATATAGATTGAAAATTTTAGTTTTGAATTAGTGGTGCTGAAATCATTAACGGATGAATTTTGAAAATTAAAAATTTGGGGATAAAATTGTCAATTAAAAATTTGTAACTTTCTTCTGAATCTCTTTGAACTACCGTACTCTAGCAATAGCTCAAAAGATTTTGCAGCCTGCTACCTAACTACTACCATACAACGGGTACCACCTTGCTCATGTGGATTGTTTACCTTTACCATCCAATCCTAAAATTTATCAATACAGAATCATCCCCAAGTTTGCACAGCAATTTAATTTATGGGTTTACAAAATCTATTGCAAACAGTAGCAATATCGCTTCAAAGTAGTTAATAAATGCATAGAGATTGCCATGTTCTTCTTTAAAGTGTTAATGCTCTGTTGAAGAGCTTTGGAAATTCTGATCTCTGAACCATGTTTTGCAAAAGATTACTGTTTTGATTTTTTGAACTAGAAGCCAATATTCTTGCAAATTAAAAGATTGCTTTTTTTTTTTTTTTTACAATCCTCACCAATCTTTAAAAGCCATTTTTTAGTGCTTTTTCTTGATGTAGGATAGTCTATGGCAACCCACTTTGGCTTTTTCTCCACTGTGTACTTTCTCCCACTTCATGCGGCAAATATTTGAAAGATTACCCATCCTACATTCCAAGGTATTATAATGTATTGGCCTTGATGGGAAACTATAAATGTGAACAACTATGTAGAAGGGCTAGCTAATGAAAATATAAATGAGGTGAGCTTCCTTTCATTAGGTATGTAGATCAACTTTCAAGTTGCTACCTTTGGATCTCAGCATTAGGGCCGCTGGTGCTGTTATATACTGGACAATATGCAAGGTATTAGTCTATGAAGCACGGACACCTCTCTGGAGGTCACGTACGAGTGTTCGACATGCTGGGACACTTGAGACACGAACACGCTGTGGACATGTAGGGACACGTTGAGGATACACTGGGGATATGCTGAGAACACGTTAACATGCTGATGACTATTTTTTTCAAAAAAAATTAAATTTTTTAATTTTTTTACTAAAATAACATATCTAAAGTTGATAAATTTGATAAAATTAAATATTTGACATAAAATACATATTTAAAAATATGATATATAATAAATATGGAAAATTATATTTTTTGCACGTGTCCCCAACGTGTCGCGTTCTGTATTTTTTGAAAATTTATGTGTCCATGTGTTCGTATCGTGTCACGTGTCCGTGTCTGTGCTTCTTAGTTATCAATTGATCTCTGAACACTTAAGAGTGAGTATGATCAAGTAGTCTAGCCATGACATGTACAACATTCATGTCATTGCAAAAGGGAGTGGTTTCAGTGTCTCCTGAAAGAGACACAACTTCTCATCTATTTCAGTTATTATGTGTTACAGTGAAGGTGTTGTGCATTTTATATGATCATGATTCAATGTCTAATTAGAAAGGTTTTTCTTCATGAATTTACCACAGATATTGGAGATGTGTCCTCTTGATGCATACAGCCAAAAATAAGAAATAATAAAATAAGAGATCATTCACTTGATGTAAAAAGTTGCTTTTTTCTTTCCCTTTTTTAAGGTAATAAGTTTCTAACCACTTCTACTGGCATCCAAGTCTTTAAATCTAGGATTGCTGTGGTAGTACCAATGTTTTGAAAATTGGACCAGTGAGCGGATCGGAAAAATGATCGGGTGAATGGGTCGGTTCAATCACAAGTGAACCAGAATTGAACAGTGATGTTATAATTATGTCAAAAATATATTAAAATTTATAAATATAAATAATATAGATATTAAAATTAGAAAAATTATAAATAATAAACAATTAAAAAAAATATTTCTTAGAATTTATTTTATGTTTTTTATACATTGATTTTTAGTAAAAATAATTAAGGCAATACTGAATATATAATATATATACTTATTACATTGTCAACAATTGTGTTGATAGGCTTAGTGGTTAGAGTACTTATTTCTTATGCACTTGGTTTCATGTTCAAGCTCTCTCTACAATATATTTTTGGAAGAATCTCCAATTCTTCAAACCCAGCTGGTTATACCGGTTCAACTGGTGGGTTTCCCGGTTCTGACAAATAAGGCCGGTTTTGGGCACCAAACGGTTGAACCGGCCGGTCCGGTCCAATTCCTAAACATTGGGTAGTACTAGTAACTGGTATCAGGATATAGTGGGTAAATATTCTGAGCTTGTCTGAATTCTTTATATGGCATTGTGGAGTTGTGGACAGGAATTCCTAATAAGTTGCACAGTAAGGTTCTTGTGACCTGAAAACTTTTTGTGCAGGACTTCAAGGCATTAACAGCTCCTGTTAGGCTGCATTTAGTTGATTTACACTGAATCATTTTGTTGTGTGAGGGGCAGCTGTGAAATGTATTACTTAATGACTTAATGACGTAAGTGTGAAGAAACACATTGTGGAAAATGCACTCTCTGACAGAGGCATGGTGTCCTTTGATTTTAGGGCATGGAAAACTGGCACTCTATATAGACACAACCTTATGTGAACTCAAAGATATAAGAAAAGCATTAATGACTCATATATCTTGTAAATATGGCATAGAAAATTAAGTTGTAGATACCTGCATGCTAGGCTATGAAATGACCCAAACTTGATGACCTCTGGATTTTGATTGGGCTAGTGACCTGCATGAAAAATTTATTTTGGAAGCTATGTTTATATTTCTTTCCAAGGTGGCTGCTTGGGTAGTTTGTAATTTGGTATATCTCACTGGAGCTATACCACAAATCTGAGATCCAATTCTTCACCAAAGCTCGAACACATTGACCTACTAAATGAAAAGAAAAAGGCTGTTCTACTGGAGGAGATAGAATTGCAAGTTTTGGTCGCCTTCCCAAGTCATCTAAGATTTAGTTTTAGAGAGTCAAACATGAGAAAAAGGTTAGCAAAAAGTGATTCTCTTTCCTTGGAGGATCTTCCACCAAGGTTTGGTTGGTTGCCCATATCATAGATGATTCAGTATTTTGAGTCACCTCTTATGGCAACTTAAATGCACCACCATTTGTTAGTTTAGAAGGTTAATGTGAGTCATCTTCCTTGTCTTTTTCTATCTAATACAGTTTACAGCCACCTACAAGTTACAATGTTAAAAACATGTAATCTAAGAAGCATGGATGTTTCTAAGAAGGTAGCGTGCCGTGTCCGACACTGACACTAATCGGACACTTGACAACATTTAGACACCCATGAGAAACACATTACAAGTTTGAATAAAATAATTTGGAATTCAATGATAAAACAAAAACAATGTAAATTTATACATATTCTTCTCTTTTAGACTTTAAAATTTATTATCTTTGATTTAAATATTCATATATATGACATATAATAATTATTTATCCTTATATATGACATACAATAATTATATAAAATTATATATTTTGCGCGTATCCCTCACGTGTCGTGTCATATATATTTTGAAAATTTGCGTGTTGGCATGTCTGTGTCTTGTCCGTGTCGTACCCCGTGTCCATGCTTCTTAGCATGTAATCATATGGGATATAGTACTCTGCTATGCATTATCAAAAACGTATTTGGTTTGTTATTGTATTAATAATGTTTTTGCTTTTATTTACAGTAAAAACTAGTTGTAACCATGCGATATATGTTGATATTGATGACGTACTGCAGGTATTGAAGCAAGAGGTTTTATATTTGGGCCTCCCATTGCACTGGCTATTGGAGCAAAATTTGTTCCTATGAGAAAACCCAAGAAATTGCCTGGTAGAGATCTTTTGCACCAATCTTTTGCTTTATGTACGCAAAACACATAGTTTTCTTTTGTTGGTCATGTTTGACCATGATTGTACTTAATTACAATATTTCTTTCTTACTGAAAATCAATGCATTAAAATTACTTGTTTGTATCTGTAAAATTGTAATAGTAAGCTAAGTACTTGTTCCATATGTCATTTCGGTTGCACATCTCCTACTCTGGTTCCTGAGCCACTACAATGGCCCCGTTTGATAGAGCTGTGGGAAAGTGATTATAACTTATAATTTAACAGCTTATAACTTATAACTGTGAACATAAGCTGATTTTTTACTTATAAATTAAGCTTCTCCTCCCCCACTCAAAGAATAAGTTGATTTTTGACTTAAAAAAAGCTATAAGCTGTATTGTTAAGCTAAACCAAATATATCAAAATAGCTTAAACTAAGCTAAAAGCGGAAATAAGCTGGAAATAAATCTTACCAAACAGGACCAATGTGAAAGCTCCACCTCCAGTATTCATTTATGTTCATCATATGTACAGACTACAGTGAGTGCTTCACTAAGTTTAGATGCATCCTATTTAGGTCCTGTTGCTGTATGATACGAACTGTGATGGTATTGTTGTTTCGTAAATAGTTGGCTACTATGTGATTTTGCATTCTATTGCTTCTGCTTATCATCTTTAAAGATTTGCTGCATTTGCTTAATGCTGCAAGGCTTTTTGACTTGGATCATAATCCTGTTAATTGTACAGCATCCATCCAATGAAATTTAATGTTCTTTAAATTTATTATATGACTATTTGCTAAAATTTGTATAAATCATTAAGTTAATGAACATGCGACAGCATCAGTGCTTGGAGACTTTACCACATTGCAATCCCTTACTTCGATCTGGAGATTTGAGAAAATTCACTTTGGAGATCAATGTCAAAACTGTATCATTTTATATTGATTGCTTACATACTTGTGCTTCAAATTCATTTCATTTTATGTGCTTCCCAAACACACATTAATGTGTACTAAGTGGGCGTTGTTTTTTTTATGTACTTCCCCTAGGGAGTTCGTTCAAATTAAAATTAGTCAGTTGGCTAATATTTCGATCAGTGGTAGTCCATCTCAACCACCATAACTTGAGTTAGGTCTTTGTGATATGTACTTTAGTTGAATGACATTCCATTTAGGGACTTTAAACAAAAAAATTGGTGGCTCAAATTGACATGAGGGACTTGCATAGACATCAAGTATAATTTCTTCAACCATCCATCAAGCTTTGGAAAGCTGTCCAATTCAAAAAGTTTTGGCACATCTATCTTATCTCTCGGTAAAAAAGTGCACAGTTTACTTTCATGAACTGTTTTGTAATATATTGCCGACAACCCAAGACCGATTGAAATTTCGATTTTCGGTCAATTTTTCATAAGGTATAATCTGTTTCGGTTTTGAGAAATTTTACACTGATACCAAGCGAACTGACCGAAATATTATATTTAAATAATTTTTATATTCTAAATTTTTTAATATTAGAAATAAAATAGAGGTTAGGAGGAGAGACATTTATAGAGCATTCTTCCACGATCTCTCTTCATTTATTTCTGTTGTAGGGTAGTGAACTAGAAAGTTCTTTTAATAGTTATCGGAATTTTTGTTATCTGAATAATGGATCTAAGAGTGAGGATCCCTACTATGATCGTTACACGTATGATACGCAATATAGTTGGATTAATCACATTAATAGTTGCATTGACAGTTCATCCTCAAATTTGTATCGATACTTACAGTGGAAGTGGTAGTAACAATTACAGTGGCAGTTACATTTATAGTTCCATTTGTGGTGAAAGTGGAAATAGTAGTGAAAGCGAGAGTTGCAGTATAAGAATTAGCACAAATGGGATGATCTCGATGTAACTAAAAAATACAAGCATTTGTGGGTTTTGGGTCCAATGAAATTCATAGGTATGGGAAGAAGCCCTATCAAATAGAGATTTTTTCTTTCGACCATATTTTGATTGTTAATACAATATATAAGGGCCGCTACTACAAAGAGTATTACACCCTTGATCGTGAAGTATCGATTGCTTGTTGAACCTTGTGAATCGCATGAAAGTAGGATACTCCAAAAACGTTTTTGGTGGAAAATAAAAAACGTGAATGAAAGATCCCACTAAATTGAATTGGGTCCCTGAATCTAAGAAATAGTGAGAATTCTTGATCTCTCTCAATATCTCTCTCGATTCAAAAATCTAGGATTTGAATTGATGTCCTTTCATTGATTCCTCCTAAACTGTGTTGATTTATCCTAAAGATATCATTCTATCAATTTTACACTAAACCAAAAATGCGAACTGTAGTATGCAATCAGTTTCAACTCCTTAACTAACAAAACTGAAGGGTTTGGTTTGTTGCTAAATTTTTTTCTCAACCCTGACTGAATCGAACCACTTAAGACCCCTAGTTATATGTATGTATAAATGTTTGGATTCTGGGGATGTCGTGGCTGCTTGTCAATTTATCAACTCCTGGTGAAAGTATTGTTTACATTTAGGACTAGTGAATTGATTTTTTAGCTTCTTTTTTCTTTTTCTTTTTTCTGGGTTATTTGATTGCATATATATGTATGTGCAATCAAATATGTATACATTTTTGGATCGTGGGGATGTCATGGCTTCTTGTCAATTTATTAATTCCTGGTGAAAGTATTTTTTACATTTAGGACTAGTGAATTGATTTTTTAGCTTTGTGATTTTTTTTTTCGGGGTTTTTTGATTGCATTGTCAGGGGAGGTTATCTCGGAAGAGTATTCTTTGGAGTATGGAACAGACAAGATGGAGATGCATGTTGGGGCTGTACAAGCAGGAGAACGTGCCCTAATAATTGATGATCTTATTGCAACTGGGGGTACCTTATGTGCTGCAATCAGGCTACTTGGTAGTGTATTAATGCTTACTTAATTCTGTAGATTTTACCCATGTACTTTTTATTTTTATTTTTATTATTCTTTCTATTCCTTCCTCCTTTTAGAGGAGCATTGTCATGGTGCACTTCTATGAGATTGCCTCATTCAACAACAGCAGGCTAAGAAAAACATGTTTCATTGTATGTCTTATTTCATACCTCATGTGTTATTAAGTCTGATGGTGTCAGGCGATGTTATTTTTCATTGCAGAGCGTGTTGGCGTGCATGTGGTCGAGTGTGCCTGTGTTATTGAATTGGCAGACCTAAAGGTATGGTTCCAATTTCAAAATACACAGTGTCCAAAATATGTTTAAATTTGAAGTCTGAATTTGTTCTTATTTTCTGTAATCCAATCTTTGTCAATTAATGTTGTTAGACTTGCATTTTTTAAACTAACACCCATTAATGATTTGAGGAAATGCAGTTGAGTTTCTCCAGCATGTTTCACCATGTATGGTTCATTGGCTGTGAAAGTGGTTTTAATTGTCAATTTTGATAAGTATTTCAAGATTGCAAAACATAGTTGAATGGCAAACACAATTGTATGTTGAAGGACAAGTACATCATCTATAAAAAAAAAAGAAAAAAGAAAAATCTTAACAGAGTAAGGAAAGTCTTTATAGAATAAGCTAGCGCTGAACAGTTAAAGGTTCATGAAATAAACAAACATCACTAAACTATTGTTTTGACATTGGATGTGGAATAACATTCAACTCATCTTAATACTAGTAGTTAACCATTAAAATATGTTTCCAAATTGTTTGGCAACTTCGATAGTGGAGAAATAGCAGAGTCATTATCTTTATCTACTTGGGAAATAAAATTCTGATTAAAGCTGGTGCAACCTCTAAGCTCACATTAAGTTTTTCACGCAACCAAAATATGTGAGCATAAGATTTTATACCTCTATTGGCAGTTATGTTCCTTTACTGCATATAATTTGAAGTCATTGAACACTATTTTGTGACACTCAATTTACAGAGCCAAAACCTTTGTGAAAATTGTTGCACAGTTGCATAGACTCTATTTTGCTTCTGGTTCTGTGAGTTGTTGGCCTCCAAGCATATCCCTCTCTTGTATAATTTACTGTCAACTCATTTTTAGAGTCAACTTTTGCCTTTATTGCAGGGTCGGGAGCGGCTTGGAGACAGACCATTGTTTGTCCTTGTAAGCTCAACTTGATCATATGTTCTGCAAGTTGGGATATGAATTTGTAATTTGCCAGGTCCTAAAGCTGGAAAAAAGGCCTTACAAGACCACTTGATTGAAAGGGGAGGGAAAGTTTGGTTGGAAATAAGAAGATATGTTGGAATAGTAATGTGGGTTTTGGTTTGTAGCTATGTATTATGCAAGTGATTTCACTTCGACTTTTATGGGAACCTCCCGTTGTTTAGTAGTGACTGAATGCAACAGGAGAATTGAAGACAATGCTATTAATTTCAGATCTACTATTATTGATGCAAGAGAGTTTTTCTAATTCTATCTAGTTTTTGAATGGTGATTTACGTAGTGTCAAATGCAGGGCTTTCTTACCAAATCCATGGAAATTTAAAGTACATTTCTCGAACTTACTAAAACAAGTATTAAAAAAAAAATAGCCCGAACACCAGGTTATCAAAGCAAAAAAATAAAAACTTGTGTTGTTTTGTGAAATCGTGTTTTCATACGACATGATTTTAGGTTTAAGGTTTGTGTTTTGAATGCCCTTCATCAGAGGAAACAGGGATATTGATGTGTTGAAGGCACAACAGTTACTGTTGTGCTCTTTATGTTTGTGTCTGCATGGCTGCGAAAGAGTCTTCCATTAATTTCGGAACTGAGGGGGTGTTTGTCTGAGTAGTTGGATCCATTAGAGCTTTGCCTCTATGTTGGTACTTAACCAATGGTTTAGCAGCAGGTCCAATTTAGGCTGTTAAAAGTCAAACAAGTTAGTGTTGTAGAGAAAAAAAAAGAAAAGAAAAAGGCATGAGACAGTCAGGGATATGAAGTATATGAAGGAAGGATACCTGTAGCCTTAAGCTTGGAAGGCGAAGATATGGGGCCCTGATTATCAATACAAGTATTGTGAAGGCATGTTTCAAGTGACTTGCAGAAAATAATGACAGTTATAAGTCTCCACTAATGGTCAAAAGTATTGGAGCAGTCCGAAGCAGGTTTGAAGAAGAAGGGGCCAAAATCTTGGAAAAGTTTGGTGTTCTCTGTCAGAATGGATTCAGCTTGCCTAGGATCTTTGAAGTAGATTCTAGACCCAATCTCCTCATGGATGGTTCGGTGGAAATAAGGATAAGGGATACCCTTAGAAGACCTAATTGTCTGGACCATTGATTGGGACAGCATGTCTCAAAACTGCAGTTGGAAATCTTGGTGGAGGATATGGAACAACCAACCAAGACATGTCTATAGGTGAGAATGTGTCTCCAAGTCTCATTTTGTGCTTAGACTTGCTCATTGTCTAAATCACAAGGGTCTATGAAGAGGAAACGATGTCTACTGGAGGAGAATTGAAAGTTTTGAAATGACATGTACAAGTTAGAAGGTCTTTCAAAGGAAGGTTGTAAAATATGGTAAGATAATTTCTGAAAGTGATGATGGGTTGGCTGTTATAAGTGAGCAATTGCTTAGCATAGGAATGGAAAACTGGTTTCAAGGTGTTAGGTGGTGGGAGTCGTGCCTCAGGGAAATAGGCATACAACCAAGCCTGGAAGAGCCAGAAAGGGCTACCACAGTTGCCAGAAATATTCTTGTCGACAAAGGAAAATAGGGCCTTGTAAAGAGTGGCAAGAAGATAAGGGACTAAAGCCATAGCTTGGCCATCTTGCATACACAAGGCAAGGGGGAGGTATTCCTTGGTGATCTTGTATCCAGGGACACAAAAAAGAAACTAACAAAGCCAAAGTAAATAAAAAGCAGTTCTTTCTTTGTCCTCGACAGGGGAACCAGGCTCGCCTTTGTATTTTTCATCGAAATCTATATAGCACATGTCAGTGTTTAAAGTAAAGGTCACTTTTGGAGGCTCAAGGAGAGCATGAATTGGATTGCCCAAGATTGGGAGACCAGTCAAGTGAGCTACATCTAAGATGGTAGGGGAAATCATACCAAAATTGAGGAGTAGGAAGTTACAAGATTGCGACCAAAAGCATGCAGCAGCAACAATCTGCCCTTTGTCCATGTCATATTTTTTAGTCGACAATCCAATTGCTTTACTAATGCCCTGGTGCTTCCATACTTCAGTGTCATGACCTTCAATTTTCCTGGCCCAGCTTCGCCAAACAGAGTCTGGTGACCTCCGGGATCTGAGTGGGTTTTTGCTGACATTCCAGTTAGTCCACTTATGTCTAGGTTCATTGAGAAGAAGGTTCTCACCATTACCAAGGGGATAGTATGGAGCTAGCTCGTCTGGGAAGCAAGACGTGAAGGTAGGACCTAGCGTAGCCTTAGCAACAGAGCTTGTGTTGGGCAATAGGGTAATACTTAATTTTAGAGGAGCGATAAGTGCTCTGATAGGGTCTGGGAAGCGGAGTAGGTCTACATTGTTGTCCTTAGATAGAGATGGTTGAGATTTTTTGGGCGCCATGGCTTAGGGTTTTGTGGTGCTATGGTTTTGAATGGCAATGCTTGAGAAAAGGAGTCCACTCTGAAGAGTTCGAATCAAAGGGAAATAAAATTAAAGTGGTTTGAAGTTGAAAATGTGGGTCTTTTATAGCTTATGATGGGGCCAGCATATTTAAATGCTCTTCTATTAGGCTGTAGTTTATGTTTGTTTTGGGCCCGTATTAAGAAATTTGCTATTGGACTTATCTCTTGGGCTCAGGGGAACAAATCTTGGGTTAAGTACAAATTGGGCCCAACTGGCAAGTTTGTTGAAGGTTAAATCATATGATATTTAACTTCAACAAGGGGGCCATTGTTTGCACCAAGTTTTGCCAGTCTCTGTCAACAAATGGTCCACTTAATGGAGGACACGTGGCCTAGTCTGAAGGAATGTCCAGCAGTTGAAAGTGGGTTGTCTGTATGTGGGTAACCTAGAAATGATGGGGGCAGTTTTTAGCACCAGTCATGGAGTTGGTGGGCACACTTTCAGGAGGAAGCATAAGACAAAACAGGAGTCTTGCTCTGTCGACAAAAGTTTCAAACGGTTGGTGGCCATGAAATAAACTGAAGAAAAGGGAGATCGATAGATAGAAGTGGAGGTTTAATATACTTGGAAAGCCTAGAATGGAGATCGTGGGTTTTAATATCCCTATATCGTTTTTGTGGCCCATCATTGCATGATCTCATACTTGTACACCATAACTACCACTGTAACTGCCCCCTGACTTCGAATCTCCAAACTCTGCCAAATATTGACTCTTCCCTGTCGACCTTCATTTTCACTATTGTGGCGCATGTCCCTCATCATTATGAGACAAAAATCGACAGAATATTGTCCACTAAACACAACCACAATCTTTGCAAACTGGGCCACTGAACCACAACACTTGGCCACTTACTGTAACTGCCCCCAGACTTTCAATCTTCAAACTCTGCCAAATATTGAATTTTCCCTGTAATGTAATCAATAAATTCAATGTCAATAAAATTGTTAATATTTGAAATACCCGTTTTTCTGGACTGTGATGACATAAACACAATTGTTGTCCTATATTTTACGTAACCACAATACACAACTTATTTATATTGAAAACAAAATATGCATTTCGGGTTTATAATCATAAAAAAGGAAACTACTTTTTTTTTCTTTTAAAGTTTACTCATATTTTTAGCTAAATTATGATTGGTTATTTTTAAAAAATTCCTCTTTGCACCTATTTTTCCCACATTCTGCCAACAGGTGTTCCATTCAATTGAGGACACATGGCAAGTCCACCTGAAGATAAGGGTTATCAACTAACATTGAATCTTGCATACCACCTGACTTACATGGTGGAGCAGTTACTGGCAGTGATCATGGATTTAGTGGCCAACTTCAAGAGAAAACATGAACGAATTGAGAGTCTGTATCTGTCGAGGAAAGGCTAAAAGGACTTGGGCACAGGTGGCAACTTCAAGGATATGCACTTCGACAGGTATAAGTAAAGGTTTTATGTGGTTTGAAGACATGGAAATGACCGTGCAGTCACAGAAGTTGCACAAAAGCAGTTGTAGATTCGGCAGATCATGGGATCGTGGGAAATAAGAGCTATAAAGGGCAGAAGGTTTGCAGAGAAAGAGGACATGAACAACAACACAACTTACTTTCTACATTGTAACTTCTGAGCAATTTTTTCCCACCTCATTTTTCAACCTCAAATCAGCAAATGTTTATCTTCTATGATTTGTTACCATCACCTCATATCAGAAAGGTCATTTTACTTGTTTACTTTGTTACTATGAGTTCATCGAAAAAAGTCTTCATCCTTTTCAGGCATTCGAACCAATACCACAATTGCTTGATTTTCTTCTTTAAATTATCAACTTTAAATTACTGCTTGGTAGCTGTAGATATAGGCCCACCTTAATTTTACTAACAATAAACCCATCACTTTCATAGCTAACATGAAATAATTTCACAACTCATGTTCGTAACTTGTAATTCATATAGCAATCGACATAGAGATAAAGTAAACGAATTCGTTGGGTTACTTTCTCCAAGTAATACCTAAAATTAATTGCAACTTGGATTATATACAAAATGCATGTGCTGGGATGTAATTTTGCAAAACCACATGGACAAAATTCGTATTTTACTTGAAATATAATAGTAATTTACCGAAACAAGTCATAACAAATCAATACGAAGCCAAACATATCGTTAGTTGATAAACCACACCGCAAGAAACCCTTCAGTTAGATCCAACCAAATATGAAACACAAACAAGAAACCCGCAATAGGAATCTTGGAATACAGACATAAGCCAATTTCTAACCCAAAACAATACACAGACAACCCATATATATCTCACCTTCAATTAGTTTTCAAAATGACAAGTCACTGCAAACACAAATGACAACATCACTCTAAACAATATGGGAAATTACTGTTCCTGGCCTTGTACATAAGTAACATTGTGTCATTTCCTAGCATTGTACGTAACCAATTATTTACACGTTGCGTACAACAATCCGTGCAAAATGAAAACTACATACATATCTACCATGTTCTTCGTAATGATGTGTTTTCAATAGCTAGTATTGTCTACCTAATAAATTAACGGAATAAGTAAATCATACAAATTATACAATTACCTGATTCACCTCATCAATTGTAGTTGAATCATTTTTGCACACTGATGCTTCGATACTACGGTATTGGCCCACATGCTGTTTGGAATCAGGAGAAACATCGAAAAATAGTCGTCGTTGCTTAATGTGCAGTGTACTTGGATCCACCAACCCAGGTTTGCAGTGAATGGGCAATGACTCTGCATTGTACTCATGGTCAGTGATGTGGGTTGTATCTGCATCTGAGTTACTATCCACTGTTCGGCTAAATCGAACCTTAGGACACGTTCACTTTGTATGCCCAATGCATTTGCAATTCCCACATTTTCTTGGTCTTCGACAGTTGAACAAGGATCCCGAGTTCCCTTTTGTCTTCACAAGATTAGGATCTTCTACTCCAAATTGTTGTGGGATTGAATGTTTCCCTTTGCTTCCATCCCCATCGTTCAGATTCCTCTCATATAACTCATTCATCAGGCTCGTCCTCGGAAGACATGCATCCCAAGCCTCTTTGAAACCTTCCATTGATTGCGAGGCATAGAAACACATTTCATTGTAGAAAGAACTCAATATCCCATACTGGTCCGTCTGTGTTATAGTGCTATCAATTGAGGGTTAACGCCATTGCTGGCTATCCTTACTTGCAGCCTTTGTCCATCTATACAGCACACAAGTTGGGGGAATTTGCGTTAAATTTTCGGCTTTCATAACACATATCATGTGACAACAAGGTAGCCCCAACGACTCAAACTTCATGCAAGAACATCTCATTGCAGCATCCACTGGATTGTGTGTTACTATCCATGATCTATCCTTCACCTTGTACTTATGAATATAGTAGCATTTCTGACCATCCGGCAAAAGGAACACGTCATTCACATTCAACTTCCCCTTTTCTACGATTTCATCATGGAACATTCTAAATATATTTCGGGTGAATAGCTCAGCTCCATGTCTCTCTATATCTCGCAATGGAGTAATCAATACTGGAAAAGTGTTATTTGTTTCAGCATCATCTCCAGCCTCGTTATACCTTATCCTTGCAAGAGCCCGATCATAGTGCCTAACAAATTCATATAGCTTCAATTTGTGTTGGAGAAAGGGATTGAAATAAGCATTCATACTCTCCGAGCGCTGAGTGCTCTTCATCCTAGAAAAGAAATGTCCACGCATATATGCCTCAGCCCACATATGACGCTTCTCATATGTCTCCAACACCTAGCTGTTGGTTTGAAGTTCAAATTTTTCGACCATTCTCTTCCAGCCATCCTCAAACTTTGCCTCATCCGTTTCCATGTCCATGCACTGCTTGAAAGCATGTACAAAACCACTTTTGTGAACATTTGAAACAATATTTTTCCCAAGATTCCAATTACATAATCGATGTCTTGCGTCTGGAAATACTCTTCTAATTGCCTCTCGCATCGCCTTATCCCCATCTGTCAGTATGGACACAAGTGCTTTATTGCTCATCGCCTCCATAAATGTTTTCAAAACCCATGTGTATGTATCAATTGTTTCATTAGCTAGCAAAACACATGCAAATATCGTGGTCGTGAAGTGGTTAGTCACACCAGCCAACATGACAAAAGGTTTCTTGTACGCATTGGTTCTGTAAGTTGAGTCAAATATCAACACATCACCAAACTTTGCGTAGTCAGCCCGCAATTTCGAATCTGCCCAGAACAGATTTTGTAACTTGTTATCCTTACACACATCATACTTGTAAAAAAAACCTGGGTCAACATCAAGTTTTGCACATAAGTAAACCAGCGCACCCTGCGCATCACCATCCTCAACTTCTGCTCTACGTTCGGCTTGAATATGGTTATGCAGATTCGTACGGATGAAACCAACATTTTCATAAGACCCGGATTGATTTACCATATAGTTCATGATTTGGCTCGTCTTCACACCGACGTTGCGTATTGCCATTGCTTGAGCTTTGTCAACGCTATTTAAACCGCGATGTGACCTCAGATACATCACACAGTGTTGTTCCGCCAATTCATGGTTGTGGTCTACGACGAATCACAACACACTTTCCCCCTTCACCAGCATCTGGATCGTACCATATGCGAAATTGGGCTTTGCAACCTACTCTTGTTAGTGCCTTGGGAGCTCTACACTCTTCTCAGTAACACGGTCCAAGTATTTTGGTAATCTCTGACCTTCCCTTGAACACAACCACAGCCTACTAACAACCTTTCCCTGTTTATTTGTGTTAAATCTGGATTTTCGTATACTAAATCCCTTGGCTTTAGTATACGCATTGTAGAAAGCTTCTCTATCTTCGATCAAATCAAATTTCTGTTCCAAAAGAGCACATTCAACATCACCAACCATGTCATTCTGATGAGCATCGTCAACCATTTCTTGTTTCATATCGGCTCCGTCATCTTCAACGTTCATGTTGGTTGCTTCTTCATTTCTCGGACCAGCTTCGCAACCATGATAAGGTTCCGCCCGACTTTCATTGATCAAACAATTGTCATCTGCTTCATTTGGAATGTTATAATCATCACCTTCCCTTTTCACTTCCGCTGGGGCCATACTGTACAGGACATTAGTACAAACAATTACTTGATGACCGAAAAATGTTAACATAAACACAAACATGACATTTTCACACGGTTAAATTGCTTGTGCAAACACAAACACTCGATTCAGAAAGAGAAAGGTTAGTTGCTACTGGAGGTGTTTCCGTTTCAGCGAAGCGTAGAACAGTTGAAGTTAGGATGGGGGTTTAGCTGAGGGAAAATAGCTGAAGTGAAGAGGCCAGACAGAGAGATAGAGACAAGGAGACAACTCCATACCTCATATCTACTTGGAGAGAATGCCTTAACTTTAGCAATGGAACCAACACAGCCTTGTAGTTCCGTTGTTGTTGGAAATCTCCCGTTATATTGTTCCCTACAAAGCTTTGTCAATGGAACCCAGCAGGGGCATCTCGCTGTTAATGGAAATCAAAGGTTACACACTCAACCTTACACAGAGAGAACAGAGAGAGAGATTTTTATTTTATTTTTTTTTTGATCGAGAAAAGCTGTAACAACAAAGAATTGAGCTAAAGGCATCCAACTAAAGCCACAGGCGGCTGGGATACCCAATCAACAGGCAAAGCATCACGCAAACAAGCTGAAGCCACCCAATGAACTGCTCTATTCTGGATTCGAGGACACCATTTGAAGACCAAACCCCCGCTACTAGCCATGAACCGAATATCATTCATTACAGCACATATTTTCCACGGAGGAACCCCTTTAGACACACACAGCTGAATGAGTGTTTTGCAATCACTCTCCACCTCTACCGTGGCACAATGAAGAGCACGGGCCATAGAACACGCAAGCCGCACAGCAGTTGCTTCACCTTGCAATGCAGTTGTCATGCGAATTGAAGCCACACTGCCATCCACCAGATTGCCCTTATCATCCCTAAGGAGAACAACAACAGCACCCTTCCTTCTGGACAAATCAGTTACTGAGTCACAGTTGAGTTTCCATAGCCCACTCGGGAGAGGAACCCAATGCGGCCTTGGACACTGTGTCGAAAAGAGAGAGAGATAGAGACGAAATAAAGAGAGTGAGTGGGATGCAATCATGCAAATACGAGCATTAACCAGTTGCCTCGGTTTCAACTTTTTTACGATTAAACAATTCAATGGTCTTGATCAATTATTGTAATCTAACGACTAAAAATTGGGTTGCATATGGTGTGCAACCTTAAGGGGGTTGCACACTTAAACGGCACCCACTTTTGCAAATTATTTTTGTTCACATGTGGCACTTGAGTTGCTTGCATCACATTTGGTAGCAGTTTGAATCCCATTGCTTATTATGCATTTTTTTTGTTGTTGAACTTTCATTGTTTATTATGCTTGACTTCCAGTGTTGGTGAAAGATTGGACTAGTAAGCTGTGGAGCTTCCAAAGGTACCCACCCCAGTATGACCTTGAGCTCAGGATAACCAATCTCAAATTCTAGTCTAAGATGACTACTTTTTTCTTTTCTTTTTTTTTCTTTTTTTTAAAGTATTAAAAAATTTTAAACTTTTAGGGTGTGTTTGGTAACGTTTACGTTTTCAGTTTATATTTACAAAAATTTTATAAACTGGTTTATGTTTATTTTTTGTTTATTTTTAGAAAAACATAAACTACAAACGCGTTTGGTAATTGACAAAATGTTTAAAAAATTTTAAAAATATAAAAAAGAGTGAGAAATGGCAAGTGGTGGCAAGTGGCGGCGGAAGACGGTGGTGGAAAGTGGTGACGGTGGGTGGTGGGTAGCTGGTGGTGGTGGGTGGTGGTGGCAGATAGGTGGTGGGTGGTGGTTGCAGATGGGTGGTGGGGGGTGGCAGATGGGTTGTGGGTGGTGATGGGTGCTCGGTGGTGGTGGGTCAAAGAATTGAGCTAAAGGCATCCAACTAAAGCCACAGGCGGCTGGGATACCCAATCAACAGGCAAAGCATCACGCAAACAAGCTGAAGCCACCCAATGAACTGCTCTATTCTGGATTCGAGGACACCATTTGAAGACCAAACCCCCGCTACTAGCCATGAACCGAATATCATTCATTACAGCACATATTTTCCACGGAGGAACCCCTTTAGACACACACAGCTGAATGAGTGTTTTGCAATCACTCTCCACCTCTACCGTGGCACAATGAAGAGCACGGGCCATAGAACACGCAAGCCGCACAGCAGTTGCTTCACCTTGCAATGCAGTTGTCATGCGAATTGAAGCCACACTGCCATCCACCAGATTGCCCTTATCATCCCTAAGGAGAACAGCAACAGCACCCTTCCTTCTGGACAAATCAGTTACTGAGTCACAGTTGAGTTTCCATAGCCCACTCGGGAGAGGAACCCAATGCGGCCTTGGACACTGTGTCGAAAAGAGAGAGAGATAGAGACGAAATAAAGAGAGTGAGTGGGATGCAATCATGCAAATACGAGCATTAACCAGTTGCCTCGGTTTCAACTTTTTTACGATTAAACAATTCAATGGTCTTGATCAATTATTGTAATCTAACGACTAAAAATTGGGTTGCATATGGTGTGCAACCTTAAAGGGGTTGCACACTTAAACGGCACCCACTTTTGCAAATTATTTTTGTTCACATGTGGCACTTGAGTTGCTTGCGTCACATTTGGTAGCAGTTTGAATCCCATTGTTTATTATGCATTTTTTTTTTTTTGTTGAACTTTCACTATTTATTATGCTTGACTTCCAGTGTTGGTGAAAGATTGGACTAGTAAGCTGTGGAGCTTCCAAAGGTACCCACCCCAGTATCACCTTGAGCTCAGGATAACCAATCTCAAATTCTAGTCTAAGATGACTACTTTTTTCTTTTCTTTTCTTTTTTCTTTTTTTTAAAGTATTAAATTTTTTTAAACTTTTAATATTTGTTTTGTTTTTTGGGTTCAAAAATAAATAAATAAATAACTTGCAAAGTGTGAGAGAGGAATACTTGTATACTTGAATCATTGACGAAAAAAAAAAGGGTAAATGTAAAAGAATTATAAACCATAGGCACTCCTAAAATTAGGATTACATTTACACTACTTGTGCTTCCACTATAATCATAAAAATTGAAAGAGAGATAGTCACCCCCAATATACATAGAATTGGGACAACATGTTACGAGTGTGAATATATCCAAAATACTCTCTAAATTCGAGTAACTGATGTCTAATATTTATCAAGATTCACGCTATCTCAACAATATCTCCATGCCATTGGATTTAGAAGCAAATAGAATTTCACATTTTGTTCTCAAACAATTACCAAAAAGAGGTTTCACTACTTTCGCATGGCTATATAATGTGGCTTTCCAGTTTGCGTTGTATGTTTCTCCTATTGTGGGGACATAATTTTTGAATGACAACACGTGGCCGAGGTGTCATGGAAGTACCAGCCAAGATGCCACGTGTTCTGGTCATAATGCCGAGATGATCTCGGTTAGGCCAAGGTTATCAACGAGAATACCGGAATCCGAGATAAGCGAATAAAGAACAAGAGTCCTAGAATGGGAGGAGACTTCAGTTTGGGTAAAGATGAGACTCTTAAAGAGCTTATCCTGATCCTATTGGGAGTCCAAGGTTAGCAGTAATCCTAAGTCCATTGGAGTTAGGCTTCCATTGGGACTAGGATTGAGTTGGTTATAAAAGAGAGGCACCCCCATGGGTCTAAGGTATGTCTTTTTATGCTCAAGCTAGTGAGTTTAGCACTATTGATTATCTTTGAGAGATATTGAGTACTAACTTGATCGTCGGAGTACCCCCGGGTGGCGAACCACCACCGGAGTCTTCTCTTTTCTGTTGCAGGTTAGTCAGGTGCCATCTATTCTGTCGGTGCTCTCCAGCTGGATACTAAGATTGCAGTATGGTCAGAGTTTCACCCACACAATTTGGCGCCGTCTGTGGGAAAGAAAGAAGAATAGATGGCCATCATTGTACAAAATCAACGTATCGGAAACAACGAGTTTAGCAAAGATAGAGAATGTGTCGACATAAACGGAGTGAAGACCCTTCCAGAAGGGACGCAAAGATAGGGGGCATGAGTGCTCCCAAGGAAATGACATTCAAGTATATAAGAGCTTAACCTAAGTGAGCAGATCCCGGATTCCAGATCCTGGATCCCAAATCCCAGAAGGCATGATCTCGGCCTAGATGAGTATGTCTGAGAAGACAAGAGCTCAGCCTAAGTGAGCAGATCCTAGATTCCAGATCCTGGATCCCGGATCCCAGAAGGCATGACCTCGGCCTAGATGAGTAGGTCCGAGAAGAGAAGAGCTCAACCTGAGAGAGCAGATCCAAGATTCCAGCAGACAAGACCTCGGCACTTAAGCCCGAGAAGAGAAGAGCTCAGTGAGCAAATCTCAGATCCCAGAAGATAAAAAGAAAACATACAAGGTCAGACTGCAGTTAGC